GCCTTCTTATCCCAAGGTAGACCCAAATATTCTAAAAGAAGTGACAAATTTTTTTTATTTTTTTCAAGAAATAATAGACAAATGGGAAGTGCATAGAAAAAAAACACCCATTCCTTTCTCAACCATCATAATCCGAAAGTCGTGATTAGAAAACATGGTGGTATGATTCACTAGCTTCAACAACTCTTCACTGAGACCTGTCCTCGCCGCTAAAAAGTGAAAAAGGTCAGTAAAGAAAAATACTAACGCAATTGTAAATGTAAACAAGACCCTAGAAAAAGTAACTCACCAGAAGAAACCGAGACGCCCCAAACTCTGGGCACTAAAGAACGATCTCTAGGCTGTCCCTCCTCTAGATCGAACTCCCAATCCCCTGACATGTAGAAAAACCAGGGCAACTAGTTTTTATTCGAATCCGACAGCCCCCAACCCAATTTAGGCACCCCCTAGTGAGTGTTAAGATAAAAATAGCCCTTCTGACTACACTCTTTCACTTTGACACAATAGACAAACTACGCTAGAGAAATAGAATAACAGCCCCCCACCACTAAATCTCTATAAAGCTAGTAGACCGATGAGGGTCTTCCAAGTGTTAGGGACCAATTGACAGAGAGGCAGTCCTAACAAAGAGAGCACCGAGGCAATAAAAGAAGGGACGAGAAACCAGAGCCCAGGCCAAAGAGCGGGCTCCAAGAAACACACTTTTCCATACAAAAAAGAACAAGTTCATTCATGCGCTGATGGCTACAGCACTCGAAAAAAGTCTGTAAGACCATACCATGACTTCAGAGCCCCTAAATTATCCTCTGTATAACCACACTTTATCTCGTGGGCTGCCACAGTGAGGACCTATCGATTGATGGTGAAAAAGAAGGCTCAAAACCCTTCTCCTCCCCCATACCAGCATACTCAGTCTGCTCTGAGTCCGCATCAAGGTCAAACGAACCCACTAGAATATCCTCACTAATTTCACCCGACATTGCTAGCAAAACAAAAGGGTAATCAAAACCATGACGTTTGAAGATCGCTTTTATGATTTCCATAGGAGAACCTTCTACGAGCAATTGCCTAAAGTTGGAGGTCTCACAAGGAAACTTACCAAGATGCATGGGAGGATTGTAAGGACTGGTGCCGCTATCCAAATCACTATCACCATAAACTATAATAGGATCAATGCTCATAAAGGAACCAAAGAAAAAGGAAGGGAGATCTTTCTAAGCAAAATACTCCACGAAGGAAATCTAGAAACCCCAAAATAAAAAGAAACTACAAATGGGGAGTAATGGAGAAAGAATAGAAGATGGGTACATATACCCGCAAGCAACAAACTAGATTCAATCAATCCAACGGAGAAAAGTGCAAACAATCGAAGGATGCTAGAAGACTCGACATGTGGAAGCAATGAAAGGCAGCGGTCATGGTATGAAAAGATAACACATAAATGTGTCATCCTTGGTTTTTGAAAAGGCGCCAAAATGGCTGTTCAAAACCCAAGAAAAGGCAAAAATGTCAAATTAGAGTAACTGTCAAGAGAGCCACTTCTAAAGTCTCGAGGCCGACCTCATAAATTATGTATATCCTACTTCTACAAAAGGTCATAAGGAATAAGCGGGCAACCGATGGATATAATCCTGACCTCGTAACCTTGCTATCTGGTTGAACAAACATTGGAGGTCAATTTATCCAAAATGACACGCTAGAAGTAGGGATGGAAAAAGCAGTGGATCAGGGCGGGGCGAGGAGTAGTCTCCATCCCCGTACTCACTTCAAAAATATTTGTCTACTTCCGGTTAGCGGGAAAAAATTTAATCCCCATCCCCACACATAAACAATTAATTTTTGTAATTTTAAGAAAAAAAAAATATAAAACCTCACAAATGAATTTGCAAGAAGGATGAAAAATTATTATCTATAATAAATGGGATCAAACAAAAAAATTTAAAAAAATAATATGTATAAAAAATGTGTGTTTCACTTAATTTGATTTATTTATTTATTTATTATTATTATTATTATTATATATTAGAGGGGCGAGGTGGAGGCCGAGGGGGGGATATATTTCAGTTCATCACCGTTTTCATTCTATCACAAGTTTGTACGGATATTTATGTATACACTCACCGTTTAATACGTATGATACATTCCCGTCCAAACAAACGAATTTGGATGAATCCCTAATGTTTCCAATTCCCTGCCATCCCTAATCAGAAGCCACATGCATACCCATCTCGCGGTAGGAGTGCCACATGGCACTTCTTATCTGACATTACCTATTGAATTCTGAAACACCCATTGACACAAGCCCTGTACTGGGAAACACTCAAACTCACCTATAAAAACACTCGTTAATAAAGGGTAAAGACAAAAACTTTATAGCAGAAAGCCACTCAAAGATCCAAACAAAAGAAGGAGAAAAATCCAACATTCTGTTATTTCACTGTAACGTTTTATTTTACAGAAACTTATTCACCGACTTAGGCGTTAGAGGTGGTTCGGTTGACACTACACCGGTTTTCTACTCTCCAAATTTTCTTTGACAGGTTTCCCAATCCCTCGATAAGGTGTGGAGAACCACACAATCTGCGAGTACCTCTGAGCATCGACAGAGCACTAATCTGAGCTCTCTACCACTGCCCTCCGTATGTAGAACGAAGTTACTGATTTGATCCATCAGTCTTTAACTTGATAAAACTTGAACAGATTATTTCAATATTGGGATAGCAATTGGCGAGGTCAATACAAAATTATAGGGAATTTGAGAATCGTATCTTCTACATTTGGCCTGTAAATATAATTTAGAAATGTTCGTATTCATAAGAATTTCTGAACATTTTGAAAGGCATTTTATAAACCTTTTCCAGACTCTATACACTTCACAATTGTTCGTAAACCAAAGAAGTATTATGTGGTGAACTATTAATTTCTTCAAGCTTATCTTCCATACTTTATTATATCTGAATCTTATATTCTCTTTCTTTGATGAATCTTACTTTTTCAGTGTATACATTTTCGACTCTCTGTAGCTTGCATATGCACCTCTTATACCTTATCTGTTTCATGTACACTTCAGTATAAAAAATCCGTTCTCCCTATAACAGAAAACAACGAACAGGTTTTTTTTGATCGGAAAACAACAACAAACAGTTTGTTACACAAACATTTGACACTTCTCTCTCAGTACTCTGGGGGTCCAATTTTGTACCAGTGAGGAATTCAGAGCTGTGGCTTTTTTCTTTTTGTTCGTTTGTTTGGCCACATGTTTGTTCATCTTCATTTAAACTACCCCTTGCAGTCTTCTAGTTGGTCACCTCAGGGATTGGTTCCATCTTGCTTACATTTGTAAGATTTTTTTTGGTATTGAATAATTCTTTTTTTTTTCGATTCTATGCCGAAATTTATAATTTGTAACCCAATCAAGGCAAGTTACGACTTAAACAACTAAATCAAAATTATGACTAAATGGGTTGATTTAGAACTGATCCAAAAAACTTGGGATTGATCCCAATTTGGTAGCTTTGGCTTCATTGAACTATAACGTATTTTGGAGGGCACTCATGCTCTAGTCAAATACAGGGTAACAGTTTGGCATGTAGCGTTATCTTATTTAAGGCATTTTTGGATTGAGGGTGGAATAAGATGTACAGGGGTGGTCCAATGGAAATGGGACCTAAAGCAAAATTTATAAATGAGGGCATATTAATATTTAATATAATAATAATAATAATAATAATTAAATTGCATTCATTCAAAATATATAATTTTTGCTTTTCGATTCGAGAGGAGAAAATACAAATTAAGTTGCGGCATTTCAACTTTTTTTCGTTTATTGTATCAATAAATAATACAGCTAAGTCATTTATAAATTTCTAATTATGGGTCTTATTTATTGGGCTTAAACTTTTCTAATTGCGTTATATTTTTATGGAGTTTTTTTGCTAGGCCTAAACATGTTGTAAATGTAAAATTTTGACATGGACAATTAATACACCCAAAAATTTGAGACTTTCGATTTGAGTGGAGCCTAAAGTCTAAGCTTTAGCAGCCTAATTGTTGGGTCTGCACTGAAGATGCATATAGTTGATCCTAATAGTTGTAATAGTTAATAGCATCTCCGACTCACCTCTCTAAAATAGTTAGCCAAAATATATTTAAATATTACATTTTCTACTTTAACTAGTCACTGTTACAGATTTACTCCAACCACACTCTCTATTTTAATTAACTATTTCATCCAACTTTCACTAACTTCTAATGATTTAAAAAGAATACAACATATATATATAAAGAGATAAGAGAGAAAAAGATGTAGAGAAATAATATAGAGAGGCTAAATGGCTCACCACATTTAAAGAGTTATTTGGATGAAATGAGAAATAGAGAGTGGGTTGGAGCCGCTCTAAGACTAAAGTTTATTAACTAATTGTATTATGCTTTCCAGAAATGAAGTCATTTGTTACTGTTTTTCTCCTTTAGTAAGTTATTTTATTTCAAAAATTTTGAATTTCACGAATCGAACTTGAAGCAATGATATGTACACATCCATCAAAAGAGTACGTTTTTGCGTTCGAGTATGTGGACCATCCCTGGAATAGGGAATAGGACCAAAACTGATTATCTAGAGTTTCAAAACAGTTTGATCATAAACAATTGCATTAAAATACTGTACAACTAAAGCGCCACATACCATGAATGATAGAATAACAACCACCACATTATTGTTCACTATACAAAAAATCTCACCTATTCAGAATAAAAAGTAATAAAACATTATTAATTGTCTGCAACATTGTTTGTTCTTCAGTATTTCAGCCTACAGAAGGCAATTAGAGCTCTGGTACGGGTGCCCAGGTTCAGAAACTTCGTTCTGATTTAGCTTTTTTCATTACCTCATAGGCTTGTCCTTGATCCCATGTGCTTTGCTACCTTTTGCTGCCCCTTCAATTTGCATGTTGTGACGAGTGGTCTGAGAACTAAAACTCCTGATACCCACAGCAGGGTGGTACCCTCTGTAAAACAAAAACAAAGTGGCCTACGGATTATGACTTTTGGTTCCCATTCATCAACCATGTCTGCTGAAGGAGTAAATATTCGATGCAACGGTGAAATTGTGTTGTCATTGACACGTCTTGTCATCAATTAATTATGAAATGTCAAATAGAATTTATGAATAGTCGTGGTTATTGAATCAAGTGTGGTTCACCAAAATTAGATGATGGTACCCAATTTGTTGGAAATACCACTTGCATGTCAATAATGATGTGATAAAACCGTTGCATTAAAGAAAGTGTGTTGCTGAGATAGAACAGCTTGTTTTGTGGATTGGGCCAATGGAATTCCAAACAGCCCCTAAGACCTTGGACTCACAGTTGGATTAAATCCGAAGGAATTGGCTGAGGCATATGCAGAAGAAGAGAGGTTGTTAACCAGAGGAATCAAGGACTGCACAACATCTGTCATTAGCGGGCGGTAGTCTGGCTCTGTTTGCACACACATGGCAGCAATAGCGGCTACCTGGAAAACCGAGAGAGAGAGAGAGAGAGAGAGCATAATTAATTAGATTGGACTTGGAATCAATTATGATAACAATGAGAAGGAAAGCCAAACTGACCTGAATCAGATCCTTTTTGGAATACTGGCCTTGTATAGCCGGATCAACCATTTCCCCTACCTTTTCTCTTTTGGTTAACCTTGGAAGAGCCTAAAATCATTATGAAAAAAAAAAAATTTGTGAGGTTTTATATCTTTCGATGAATGTCATATCACGTCGGATCCGTGTTCTCTAATATAGTTTGTTTTTTATTGGACCCGTGTGGTTTCAAAGTATGTTCTATAAACAAAAACTAAAACTCAAATTCCGAGGATAGAATCACCGTAAATTGAATCACAAAACAGTCAATACATGAGTGGCATTTTATGGTGTTTTATATAAGGATAATGCTATACTGATTAAACACGAAAAATGGAGGATTAAATGATGTGGTGTTAACATTGTCAGCAAAATTTTAACAGGAGTAAAAGTGGAATCAAAAGTATCAACATGTGAGCACCATATCCTCTAGTCTTTTTTTATAGACTATTTGTTGGTCAGTCTAGTGTCATCATTTATAATATCTTATGAATTTTATTTATGTTATGCCGTTGCGAAGACTATCAATTTATGTATTATTTGGTAACACTTTATTGTAGTTCATTAACATCATATATAAGCATGGTACAAGAACGTCCTCGAAAGTAAGATTAAGGGATTCTGGTCACTAACCCATGAGACAAGGACATCTTCTCTGGGAGGGCGCTTGGTATCCACTGGAACACGGCCGGTCAAGAGCTCTAAAAGAACCACGCCGTAGCTGTATACATCCGACTTTGTCGTGAGCTTGCCTGTTGCAGCATACCTACGTTGCCAACATTTGAATTTCAGAAATTTTCATTTTTTGGAAAGAAGGAGATCTCTGAAACTGTGATTTCCAAACTTTGTTCTTTCTATTGCATAATTCTTAATTGATTTTTTTATCTACGGTTGTTTATATGAAAATATGGTTTAAATTTACGCTTTTGAATGTAAAAATGTATTCGGAGAACATACTTCCAATAAAAACACATGTAAGTGCGTTTACTAAAACTTTTTTAGTAAATAAAAATAAGTTAAAAATCTTGATGTAAAGGAAATAAGTTCAAAAAATGAAGTATAGAAATTCATTTTGTGCAGATTTGTGTAGGGTATGTCATCCAGTGTTTGTCCATGAATTTTGCTTCGCCAGGCAGCTTTCAAAGGCCAGAGAAAATGATGGTTTGCTAGAGATAGAGACCTTAGACTGCCTATGTGCATGGCTTTTTCTGGAAGTTTTTTTTTTTTATTAGGTATGGTTATGAGAGAGAGAGAGCTATATGAAACTGATGGAGATGGAGCACTCACTCCGGGGCCAAATATCCTGTGGTCCCCAACACGCGGGTCAAAATCAGACCGTTAATCTTGTCTGAACCTATCTTTGCCAGCCCGAAATCCGAAATCTTGGCTCTGAAATTTTGATCTAAGAGAATGTTACTGCATTTGAAATTGCGATGAATGACTGATGGCACGGTGTGTTCATGGAGTTCCTCAAGGGCTCTGGCACAATCAAGGGCTATTCTTAGTCGGCTACCCCAATTCAACGGCAGGGATTGCCTGTTGGGAGGATGGAGATGGTGTTGAAGAGTGTTGTTGGGCATGAATTCAAATACTAGAAGCCTGTGGTGTTGATCTGCGCAGTAGCCCAGAAGATCCACTAGGTAAGGAGAGTGCAAGCGGCTTAATAAATCCACCTGCCAAAATATAACAAAAAAAAAAGCCCAAAGAAAAAAAGGATTGTTATCATTATGTCGCATGCTCATGTGCATTAATTGGTGTATAGAGTCCATTAATGCCTGTACATGAGAATGTAAGGTAGAATTTAGGTAAAGAGATAAACAAGTAGGTGTCTTGTGTGTGTGAGAGAGAGAGAGATTAATTGCTTAAGTCAACATTCCTGGTTGTTTTTTGGGTATTTATTAGTAGGGTTGGAAGATACAAAAATGGAGAGAACATGGAGCCAGAAAAGTGTGTGTGATGATAGTGAGTGAAAGAGCTCTCTAAAGTCAACAACCAAATTAGTGTTTTTAGGTGGAGTGGGATTTGACAAGAATATGCACGTTTGGGGCATGTTAAAGCAAAACTCTCTCTCTCTCTCTCTCTCTCTCTCTCTCTCTCTCTCTCTCTCTCTCTCACACACACACACACACACTCAAGCATGCAAGTTAACAAAACATACTTTCTGATTAGAGACCCTTTCCTTTCTTTTGCTATACTTCCCGGACAGACTAGAAGGTTACTTTTCAATATTATATTGAAAGTTACAACTCAAATAAGGTGACATTGTCATAAAATTTGATCATTTAAAATTGATTTCTACTTTTTTCAGGAAAAAATTTGATATTTTTGGATTGTAACTTGATTCGAATTGAATTGCAACTAACTCTTATTTAGTGGTAATCTCTCTACAATACCAAATTGAATACTATAACACTTCCTAAACTGCTTTGTATCTGGTGGTGAAAGCAATTTCACCATTTTATACTATTTTGAGGAGTAACAACTAAATTAATGAAGCAAAGAAGTATGCTTATCAATTTTAGACACAATTTGTGAATTTAACATGAAATTAATAAACTTGGGTTGAACTTTAACGGATTCGAGTGAGACTTATTAGACTAGTCAAATAAATGAGTTAATATGAGCACGATTATACACAAATACAAATGAGTTAGGCATGAATTGAACAAATTTTAACATAACCTAACTTAAACACAATGCAAACTTGACATTACACGTCCCTATCAACTAATTGAGAAAAGTAAGAATTTATCAAAGAAAACAATTACCACTATAATGAGCTCACTAACCTCTAAACGAAATGCACGCTCCCCTTGCTTGCCTTCCCTATGAAACACCTTAACTGCTGCCATGGTTCCATCACTCAGGACCCCTCTGTAGACCACTCCATACTCTCCATTTCCTAACACATTTGCTTCACTAAATTTCTCTGTCGCTATTTCAAGCTCCTTGTAGGTGAAAACTTGGACCACTCTAAACTTAGTTTGAGACAGACAGCCTGAACTTCCTCCATATAGGCACCCACCTTTCACATCTGCTTCATTGTCATACAAGCCCACATCAAAATTTGCAGAAAAATGGTAACATGTATATGCTACAATTCTCCCCTCTACTATCATGCTTCTCATATTACACAGCTATAGTTATTAGTATCACATTACTTACAATGATTATGCGATTTTGGCAGAAAATTTAATGAAAATTCATTCACTTTGCCCATATCTATATGATTTTATTTTACTTAGTGCCGACCTGTAGACATTTCTGTCCAAACGATCACAAAAGTTTGGGTTTGGAACAATGCAAAACAAATTCAAATAGTTGAAGTGTAGAGTAAAAAACTTATATAGTTTAAGGAGCAAAACTGAGATCAAGACCATAGTGGTCAAAGCGTATTTGTCCTAATTAGAAAAAGCATGTCTCTATATATAGAGAAAGAAAAATGAAGTGTGGAATGGGGAATTGAGTCATTACCGGGGCTTGAATTGATGTTAATGGTTCTATGAGAAATGAACTTCCAATTACTGTTGTTGAGGATACCATTGTTCTTGGTGCTGCCATTGTTTTTTGCAGATTGTAAGCGGCGGAGCATCACTATCAGTAGTAGTATTGCAAGGAGCAAGATGGTTATGATAATGGGTATGATAATTACAAGAGTAGAGGTAGAAGGGAGGGCATTATGGTGGTGGTGTTGATGGGTATGTTTTCTTCCTGAAAGACCAGATGGGCTTGCAGGAGCACCAGTGGAGTTAGTTTCCATGGCGCAGAGAGAGAGAGAGAGAGAGAGATGCAATATGAAATGTCCAGGTTGGGTTTTCTTTCCTAGTATGTGATAATGCCTGTATGGTCACATGATGGAGAGGCTTAGCTTTCCTACATGGTAATGCGCAATGCTTTTTTTTGTTTAACATTATAATGCGTAGTGATTTGTTTTTTTGGGTAAGTTAGTAATGCATAATGTTAGACGAGTTAAAAAGTAAGATAAAAAATAGAATAATAGAGTAATGTTATGGACAAAAATATAGACAAAACAATATGGCCTGAGGTGATAAATAAAATTTAAACTTTAAGTGCAAAAAAATAGAACAAAAAATTCAAATATGTCAAGGTCACATTATTTGAATTCAATTTTTTGATATTATTTTTTTGGTCTGCCTAAGATTATCCTTCCCTTCCTGTCATAAGAATCATATTACCCCTATATGGCCACATCTCTCTCTCTCTCTCTCTCTCTCTCTTAATCGAGGGTCATCTGTACTTCACTCTGTCGCTTCTTTTGTTTACATTATAAGGTATAGGCTTTGTCTTTCTATCACCAAAAATTGGAAGCATTTGCACCCCTTCATCCCTATGCAACCAAATGATTAGCTGCTAATCATTTCGTTGTCTGCATAAACTTCATCCTCTAGATTTTTTTGTGAAACTTCGATGCAGTAGCTGCATGGTTGGAATTGGAAAAGTAATTTTTCTTTTTACATGTATTGTGTTATGCCTAACCTAATATGAGAATCACACAGTATTTTTTCGAAATGGCATGTTCATGTCTTAGGAAGAAAAAAAACCATGTCTGCTTAAACTTCCTTAGTGAGGTTAAAAGTTCAGACCACTTAGTTGAGAGATGAGAGTTTGATTGTTCAAGTGGTCTGTTGAGATGGGATTCATGTTTTAAATCGAAAGTATTATTATTCTTTTAGCACCTATCCATATCAATTTTAGTGAGATTTAAACTTCTGACCTCATAGTCGAGGAGTCAAGATATTCTATAATATTATACACCGTTTTAAAGAATAACACTTGGACGAAAGAGAGGCTTTACCCTTAGTTGAGAAGTGAGATTTTTAACTGGCCATAGTAATCCATAAATATCAATGAAATTTGCTTGTTGATCCATTAAAAACATAATGAAAAAAGGCATTCACATGTCTAAGGCCTATGATATTGGATAATATTGCACATGCCAATCCTAAGATCCACAATTTGTGTAGCTGAAAGTCAATTGGTTGCCCTGGGTTTCAGGTTGTGCCAGACAGAAAGGAGTGGTCCTAATGATAAAAAAGAATGTTCATCACATATATATATATATATATATATATATATATATATATATATATATATATATTCAAAATTTACACAAACCAATGTATTCTAGTGCCTCCTTGGTTCTATTCCTTCAATTGCTAGCTAATCATTTATTCTTTTCGAGCCGTTGGCCATTGAGGCTGATTAATCTCTTAACAGTCCTTAAAAAAATTACATAACTTTACAAGCGTTTACCATTTACTAAGCAATGATCTCATGGTGTGATTAGATAATTTTTTAACCTAATAACTTCCACAGAGTACACTTTAGACATCAGTAATCACTAGTTAACCTAATATTTACTCTATGTTGCATGAAGGTTTTAAGGTCTTGGAGTTATACTGGTAGATATATGAGTACCATTCAAAAATCACCCAAGTTACCAACAGAATTCAGAATAACCTATGAAATATTACAAGAACAATTTTGGCTTATCAGGGTTTCCGAAGTACATTATGTGGATCTCTCATTTTTCTGCACTGTGATGTTAATACATTATATTTATATTAGAAAATCGGGCTAACAATGGCCTCTAAAGTATACAAGTTTTGTCAATTTAGTCATCATTGTATTAATTTTATCAATTTGATTATTAAAGTATTTGATTCGTGTTCAAATGGTCTCTGTACAAACGGTCTGTTAAATTTTTTATAGAAGTGATCACGTGTTAACGTTGTTCAGATGATATCGTCGGAAAGAATGACACATAGTCACTTATATCAAAAGGCTTAATAGACTATTTGGTTAGGGACCATTTAAATACAAATTAAATATTTTATGAATCAAATTGACAAAATTGATACAATGAGAACCAAATTGATAAAATATGCATACTTTAGGGATAAAAATGTAATTAACTCTAAAAAATCTCTTATTTTTTTTCATGGCTTCAGAGAAGTTTAGTAAGAAGACAAAACAAACCAGCAAAGCTCCGGGTATTACGACCACCGCCACGTAAAAATACAATGACACAAGATGAATCTAAAAATAACAACCACCAAGTACTACGAATAAAAGATAAATTATATTAGTTTCAGACAAGAATAACTATTATGGCAATAAGAAAACTTATACGTTTCTTCTTCTTTTTTTTTTCTGTTTTCTCATTGGTTAATCTATTATTGCATGAATTTTTTTTGATTTAAATGGGCTTCATGAATTTAAAATAACATGGTTTGAATATGACACAGTAGACTCAGGTGACACTAACTACCTTCTTGTTTAGCCCCTAATGTAACTCAAGGCCTTCACTAGACTTCAAAGAATACTATAAGAAGTAAACTATTCACCCTTTCACCAGCCTTGCACAGAGAGTGACATTGCATATAATGATAGACCCTCCCCACCAAACAGTGGAATATCTCCATTCCTGTGTTATGCAGTTGTCTCATCCCTGATGGTCTTTCCCACACACCAAAGCCTGTGTGTGAGAAAGAGAGAGAGAGAGAGACACACACACACACACACAAAGGTCGCGTGGATGTTGCAGTTTCTGGTACAGTAGGCCATATTTGGATATGCACATGTATTAAATATAAGTAGGACCAAAGGCCAAGCAAATGAGAGATACATAACAATCTTACGTTAAAAGCAACTTTTTTCAGTTATGCATGGTCTCCAAATAAGATATCATGTGATCATCACCTACCTAATCAAATTCCTCTCCCATTGCATGAATCCTATTTGATTGATCTATCAACACCAGTAGGCCCAACTGTTTGTTCAAAGATAGGATGCCGCTTCAATGTATTGGATTGACAACCATGTGAAGTGCAACTCCAAAAGAGCTTTCTTTTATTGTCCCTGATTTTCAAAACCTGCAAAGAAATCAGATAAATCTTACAAAGTATGCCAAATTGTCTTCATCTTTCCTCAGGCAATCAATTGAAGACCATCGCCAGAAAAAGACAAAATCTCTTACCTTCAATGTTTAATACGAGCATATTGCCAGAAATTGAGGGTAGGCCGGTTAAAATCACTCCGATGTCTAAGTCGGTAATGACTTTGAAAGAAAACAAAGTCATTCACTCCAATGTTGAATTTGCACATCTTGTATCCACTCATTCACTAAGGGTTTGTTCATTGTTGAAAAGAGGTTCATCAAGTGTTAATGACTAATTAATTGTTAAATTGATAATTGTAGTAAATAGGTCTAAAATCGACATAGATAATTGCACGAGATTCATTAAAGACCTTTTCAACCCCCCTCCCCTACCCCGAGGCTAGATCATGCTAGTGTAGTTTCACTTGTATAATTGTGTCAAGGACAATCAATTACTCTCCCCCCTATTAGTTGGTATCAAAGCGTGGTACCCGAGAATTTTACTTGAGTGCGTTGTAGGCATAGCTTATTTATGCTTACTTGACCTAGTTTGTTTTTTATTTGACATTTATTATAACAACCAGTTTGTTATTAATGACTTTTTTGAATGAGACTCTATTATGGGATCGCCTTTGTTTGATGGAACCGTATTAATGAATCATATTATTTCAATGTATACTCTTTCTGCATCCACACTCCCCACCTCACTGTAGTTTTGTATATGCACCTCTTATACCTTATCTGTTTCTTGTACACCTCGATATTAAACTCATAGTTTCTTACACAAACTTTTGACTCTTCTCACTCCAAAAATTCTGGGGGTCAATTTTGTACGAATGTGAATTCAGAGCTGCAGCTTTTCTCTTTTTGTTCTTTTGTTTGGCCACATGTTTGTTCATCATCATTTAAACTAGCCCTTGCAATCTTCTAGTTGGTCACCTCAAGGATAGGTTCCACCTTGCTTACATTTGCTCCATTTTTTTTGGGTATTGGATATTTTTTTTATTCCATGCCGAAAGTTATAATTTATAATCTAATCAAGTCATGTTACAACTTAAATATGTTTATGACTAAATGGGTTTCATTTAGAACTGATCCAAAAAAACTTGGGATTGATCCCATTTTGTAGGATTGATTAAAAATTCTTGGTCCTCATGGAACGGTAGCTTTAGCCTCATTGAACTACAACTTATTTTGTTGGGTGCATCATTCTCTAGTAACACATCTAATAACCAAGAGTAATGTATAGATTAGATTAATGTCACAATTCATTTAATTGGTTTTGTAACCAAAAAAAAAATCGTATTTTTTAGTTTGTCTCATTCATCAATCTATTGTTGTATGAACTAATTTATTCAAATGAGTTTTATTCGCGTGAATATGACATGAATCTAAAATAATATAATTCGAATATAACACGATACGACTCAATTGACACTCAAAAGTTTTTGACTTGTGCAATTGATAGCGAGCTAGCCCTAATGTAACTCAAGGCCATTAATAACGCATTCATAGGTATTCCAAAGAATAATGTTAGAACTATTCATCCTTTTACCACCTTACCCATTGAGAGTGACATTGTACATAATGACAAGACCTCCGCACCAAACAGGAGAATATTACCATCCATGTGGGTTGCACCTGTTTCCTCCCGATGGAGAGAGAGTGTCAGAAAGTTCATGTGGGTGTTGCAGTTTTTTTGATACAGTTGGTCATGTTTGGATGTGCACATGAATTAAATTTAGGGTAAATTACATTAATCTCTAAGGTTTAATCAAATAATAACTAAATTCCTTTTTATTTGAGAAATAACAGTGATCTCTCTTGTCAATGAAAGTAGTTCTATCTTTCTAAACGCAGCACAACAATGATTATAATGCCCTCAAAGCATAAAATTCTCTACTTATTGACCTTTAGGTAATTTTACCACATCCAATCACAAATTGCCATATCATATCGACATACAGTACAATTGAAGAAACAAATTACTTAATCAATATAATAGAATTGATCCCAAATGAAAAAAAAAAATCTTATTTATTCCATAAATTGTCACTAAACTCAAACCAAATCTAATCAATTTATTTATTGAATAACTAGTTATCTCCCGTGCTTTAAGGTATGGAATAATAAAAAAAAATCAACAATAAATATATTTATATTTACACCTAAAATTAAATTACAAAAATATGAGAGAAATAAAGAAATTTAAGCACTGATTATAGTGGGACACGAGTGGTGGTACTGGTGGTGGGGAGACAGTAATAATTGTGATGGATGATAACAATCAGTTGTAATAGTGACAACTATAAGTGACAATGATAACGGTGGTTGAGGTGCAATGGGGGTGATGTGGTAGGGGTGATGGTGGTAAAATGGCGGCAACAATGGTAGTGGTGAGGCACTAATGAGGTGGTGGTGGTGGGGTTACACTAATGGGGGTGGTGGGACAGTGGTGATAGTTGTTGTAGAAGAGGTGATGGTGGGGTGGAGTAACGGTGGTAATAGGGGCGATGGGTGTTGTAAGGTGGCGATAGTGGTGGCGGTGATCGTGGTGGGGTGGCGGTGGTGGTAATGGTGGGGCTGGTGATAGTAGAGATGTTGGTGGTGCGATTTTCAAATACTATTTTTTAAAAAAAAAAAAATACTTATAAGAAGATATAAGTATTAAAAACATTTTTAAAAAATCACATCAAATACACCTTTAGAACCTTATTTTTCATATTAAATTTGGAATGTTAATATTAACAGTTACATTAACTTTAAAATAAAATTTAAAAAGATCTCAACAACGAATAGCAAAAGTCATTTTATTTATCTTTTCAAATTCGAATTGTATTGTACTTTATTATATAAATATTTATTTTCAAAATCAAATATAAATGATTATATCCATAAATTCCTACCAAATCTAATTAACTATTTTAATTAGATCAAATTTATTGCAAACTCGAATCAAATTTAAATCAATTCAATTAATTAGATTAATTATCTCAAAATTCAAATTAATTCTTATAATTTATTTAATTTTGTGCTGAAACTCAAATTTAGTTTGAAAACAAATTTAATTACGTAATAACCTAATATTTAATCTCACAATATACACAAACCACTCCCAATCAACCCCACCTCCACTGTCAACCTTAAATATTACAACCCCCCATAAACCTAAACCAAAACCAAAACCAAAACCAAAAACACAACAAAACCACCCAAATCCACTACCTTTGTTCTCAATCCACCAGCCAAAACCACAAAAAACACCCAAGCCACCTCTGCACCGCCACCACCATACACCCCAAAAAGACATTACATAAGCACCACAAATGCAGTAGCTAAGCCTACACCGTGACACCGTCATCATACCACCACTGCTCTGCCACCCTCAAACCCAAAATACCACCCATCAAAACCCCACCTATAGCCTCCCAAAACCACCGCAATCCAGAGCCACTAGTATAGAACCACCACCCTTGCGGCTCACCCACGAACAAAAAACCCACTCAGTGTTATTTCTCAAACAAAAGGAGGTCTAGTCGTTATTTGACCAAATCTCAAGGGAGGTAAATGTAATTTACCCTTAAATTTAAGTAGGTACCAAGCCCAAGCAAATGAAAGATACATAGCAATCTCAGGTTAAAAACCTCTTTTTCAGTAATGCATGGTTTCCAAATCAGATATTATGTGATCATCACCCACCTACTCAAATTCCCCTCACATTGCCTCAATCCTATGAGTGATCTATCAACATCATTAATCCAACTGTTTGTTCAAAGATAGTATGCTGCTTCAATGTATTGGGTTGACAACCATGTTATATGCAACTTCAAAAGAGCTTTCTTTTATTGCCCCAGGTTAGTTGTAACAGCATTTTAAATTGTCTTCATCTTTTCCCAGACAATCAGTTGGAGACCATCACACATTGTTCAATACCAATACGACTCAGCCAAGTCAGGTGTCGCTCCCATTCCGATATTGTTCAACGTTACTTATAAACCACCGAGTTTTACACAACCTAGACTAGTCCTCTAACACGTCTTTGAGCGTCAATGCCAATGTTGCGACCTTAAACCATGCCATCCCAGCTTTAATTAAATCACATGGCCATTTGGTTGAGAACAGGCTATGTACATTTCTATCTTGATGACAAGCCAAGACCAAGTGCATACTGTGCATTCACGAGCTCAACAGGGTGATGTTCCTCAAGCTTAGAATGTGTTCTGCCTCACTGAACCAAATTGAAGTGATAGAGCTTAATATGGACATCCCATCAATACGCCAGCACTTGAAGTTGTCATCACCTTCCCTGATTCCAAGCCGTTTTGTTCTATGTACACTTTTGTCATCTCTTGGTTATTGAATGGCTACAGTGACCACAAGAAAATAGAGGCATCACCAATAATGATGGCATGGCATCAGTATAGAATTTCTACGGTAAATTTATAACAATAGCCTCATTTCCGAAATAGTCAATGCTTGAGAAGGAAATTTTAAAGCAATGAACAATTCAGCAATTAAGTCATAAATCCAGAATTGACACTTCGATTAATTCAGTGAAGCTTTTCTACAATTCCATCAATCATCAGGGAAACCCAGAAACCTGTTTATGAGTTTAGCAACTGGTGTGGCATCACCTGGAGGATATGGAATAAGATATTCCAAATTCATACCCGTAATGATTTGGTAGAGTGTTTGAGGGCGAGCACAAAGCAAATGCTTCCTCTCTGCCAGTTCCTCTGCCAGCTCGCTTTGATGATTGTCCATCAAATCTTCATTCACCACCACGATTAAAGGTTTACCAAGCCGCAATGTCTCAAATATACTCCCCGAACCTGCAGCACAATCAAATCTAGTTACATGGACATATTCCTTCTCTGATTCCTCTTGTCCTTATTCTACTACCAAAATTTGCCTTAAACTACAGAATGTAGACACAGCACTTTACAAACTCAGATCCAATTGAAATCTGTGTGTTCCTGTTATTTCTTTTTAAGTTCCAAAAATAGCCACGGCAAGAGAGGATACATGGTTAAGCAAAACACAATCTACTTTATGCTTTTTATCAGCAAATATCAACCCCTTTATGTATTGCTCTCTATTTTTCCTTTATTTTTTCTACTGTTTTTTTTGGAGGGGGGGGGGGCCAGTGCCAGTGTCGTTCCGTATTCTAGGTGGCGTTACAGCATCCCACGCGACAAATTCATGAAGCTCAAACAACTTAACAGTAGACGTTCTCTGATTCTGAAAATCGACACCTGTTGCAAGAAATTTGGCACGATTGGCCAAATGGGTATAAAGGGACAGATGTGTTTCTGGAGTAGCTGAATTATGCACTGTAATTGAGATATTTAATATGTTGAGTTAGATACAATTGAAATCTAAAGATCATAGATTCTAGGGTTTAGAGTGGAGAAAAGGAGAATGAAGAGATTACAAACTAGGGTTAAGGAGAATGAGTGTTCACCTGCCTCTCTCATCACTCATCTTTATATTAACTCGTAATAAATTGCAGATTACAATAATACCCTTAATTAAAATAACCAAACATTCTACACTCCCCCAAAGTCGGGCATAAATATCTTTCATGCCCAACTTGCATATATATGAATGAAAATGTCTACTACTAAACCCCTTAGTAAAAACATCAGCTAATTATTCCTTGGACATCACAAAGAGTATACAAATGAATCTATCATTTAACTTCTCTTTATTGAAGTGCATGTCAATTTCAATGTGTTGTTCTGTTATGTTGAATTGAGTTGTGAACAATATTTATAACAGCCTTATTATCACAATATAGACACAGACACATAGGTTCACCATTAGAGACACTCAAGTCTTTCATTAAGGTTTTCAATCACATAAGCTCACAAATACCATGAGTCATAGCCCTGTATTCTGCCTCTGTACAAGATTTAGTCACCCCTGCTTGGTTCTTACTCCGCCAAGTAACTAAATTTCCTCCTGCAAAGATACAGTAATCTGTAGTGAACCTTCAGTCCCCAGTTGAGCCTACCCAATCTGCATCTATGAAGGCCTCTAATCTCAAACGATCTTTGCTTTGAGAACAATATTCATTTGCCTAGAGTTGATTTGAGGTACCTTAATATACGATGAACTACCTCTTGAAGAGAAGCTCGAGGAGAATGCATGAATGGGCTAACAACATTCACTGCATATGTTATATGTTTGGGCAAATATAAGAAAGGTATATATCTCCCAACAAGCCTCTGATATCTTTCTCTATCAACTTTATCACTTCTCAATCTGTGGTTTGTCTCAATAAGTGAGTCTGCTAGTATACAACCTAGCATGTCGTTTTCCTTCAATAGATCAAGGATATACTTCCTCTGTGAAATAGCTTAAATGCCCTAAATCCTTAATCTCAAATTCTTTAACAAGGTAGACTTTCAGTTTGGACACATCATCACCTGCAAGTATTATGTCATCAACATGTACAATAAAAACTAAGATTTTACCACTCTCTCGTTTGATGAATATCGTGTGATTTGCAGGACTCTGCCTGTTTCCAAACTTGACCATTACCTTGTAAAATCTATCAAACCAAGCTCTAGGAGACTGTTTTAGTCCACAAAGACGTTTCTTTAACTTACATTCTTTTCTCTCAATAGTTGGGTAAGAAAAATCCAAAGAAATACCCATGTACACTTCCTCCTCCAAGTTCCCATGAAGGAATGCATTTTTTACATCTAGTTGTTGTAAATCCCATCTCAATTGGCAACACAAGAAAGGACGACATGAATGTAATTCATCTTCGCCATAGGAGCAAATGCCTCCTAATAGTCATTGTCATATGACTGAGTAAACCCCGTAGCTATAAGCTCTCAAGGTCTCATTCTTTCTTAGAACTCTCATTTCTTCAACCATGACTATTTTTCACTTGAGTTCTAGAAAGGCTTTATTCCAACTCTAAGGAAGAGATATAGAAAACAAAGAATAAAAGCATGATAGGAGAAAGACAAAATCGTAAGAAACAAATTTAGAAATAGGATTGTAGGGTACAAGTCTGAACTCATTTTTGAATAGCAATAGGTAAAGAACTATAATCAACAGGATTACTCCAAAGAAGCTCATTACCTGATACAAGCGAAAAGATTTCAGGAGCCTGAGTCTGAAGATGATGACTGACTTAGTGGCTTATAAGTGATTATTTGCTTAACTGGTCATCGAGTATAGCATCACAAATCATCTTTATCTACTCTTCCACAAGTAGTCTGCTCCCGCGAACAAGTGATTCTCCTTGAAGCTCCCCCTAGCTAGATTTCTCTCTCAAATTCAAGCATAGATTGGGAGGTAAGAGAAGAAATTCATCCTCTAGCATCTCTTCTTCAATACACTGCTCCCCTGAAGAAATGGTGGAGGAGTGGGGAAATACGGCTCTCTCTCATGGAATGTGATATCCATACTAACACACCTTCCAGAACTAAGAATGAAAATACTTATACACTTTTTGGATAGTAGAATAGCCAATAATGACACAATGCAATGCCATTGGATCGAACTTTCTCTTGGTTCTTCGATAATCATGTACAAACACATAACCAAAGACTTTTAGGGGAATACAGTGAAGAGAAATTGACTCTTGAAGCATCCCGCATCCCTATAGAAATAGCAAAATCAAGAACTATCGAAGACATCCAATTGATGAGATATGCAGCAGTCAAAAACTACATCTCCCTAAAAGGACTAAGAGACATCCATAGTAAACATCAAGGAGCACGCCACTTCAAGGAAATGTCGATTCTTCCTCTCTGATACATCATTCTATTCGGGTGTATCCACACAACTTGATTGGTAAAGAATTTCATGTTCCACAAGATAACTCTAGGATTCTCCATTAAAGAACTCAATCTCATTCTCAATCTTGAGAACCTTAATTTTAGCATCACACGAAGTAATTGCTAGTTTATGAAAACTCTTGAAAAAAGTAAACCCTTCGTCCTTGTTATGCAACAAATAAACCTAAGTAACCCGAGTGTAGCAATCAATAAAAGTAACACAAAGAAAACTATCTTTATTACATTGTTTTACTAAAAGTGAAAAAAATCTTTAAAACTCCTACTGATGGATGACCAAGTCTTTAATGTCATTGATGTAATTGTTGGAGGGCTACAAAACCAGAAGCCTAAAGTGCCCGACAAGGTTGATCATCTAGCAAATATAAACTACCATGAGATCTACCACTGCCAATCATTCTCCACATTCTCAGCTCCTCAAAAACACATTGAGATGAAAAGAATATTACAAAGTAATTTAGATACTTTGTAATGCTACTACAAATAGTAAGTTAGCGTAAAAATTAGGGACATGAAGAACTGAAGACAAAGGCACAGAAAGAGAATAATAAATAAAACCTTTTCCAAATATAAATGACAATGAATCATCTGCAACCCTAACTTTATCACTACCGCAAAATGTGAAATAAGAAGAGAAAAGACTCAAGGAACCTGTCATATGGTCAATAGCTCTGGCCGATAATCCAAGGATTAAGGGAACATGAAGCAGTAAAAGTACTGACATGTATAACTGTGTGAACAAAGCTAAAAACAGCAAAATTGGAAGCAAATGCAGAATAAGTATCAAGTCGGGCTATTAGACGCTTGAGAAACTGCATCTCCTATGCAATGAAGCTCGCATAATCAAAACCAGTAGATAGAGATGGACCACTGGAGGTAGGGTCAGCAATCTAAATCATATGGATATGTGAGCGCACATTACTAGCCATATTACCACCACATCCCCTAGAAGGATGACTATGCAACTTATAACAATAGGCTTTAGTGTGTTTCGTCTTTCCAAAGTAGTCACATTTTAACAGATCTTTTTCAATGCTTCCATTTTTACCATCACCACAAGATTGAAAGGATCTATTCTCTCTATAGAACAACTGCTATAACAGACCAATCATGAGCTGGATTATGAAACATGACACTCCTACTCTCCTTCAGCTGCACATAAGCATATGCTTGCCTCAAGGAAGGAAAAGGATCTCTCCACTCAAACCTGTATATGGATTTAATCATACAACATATTAAGACCTGAAAGGAAATCATATAATCATTCCTTTTCTATCAACTTCTGAAACTTAGCACGGTCTCCAACACAATCTGCTTGAAGATCCTAGTAAATAATTCAGCTCCTGCCACAGATTACTCAATCTTGCATAGTACTCTGCAATAGTCATATCCCTCTATTTAGTTTCATGAATATTCTTTCAGAGCTCATAAATTAGGCCATCATTCCCGACCTATAAATATATACAAGCCACCATTGACCAAATCTCACTGGCCGTCTCAAGAACCAAAAAACCACGACTAATGTCAGGCTGCATTGAGTTGAAAAATCATGTCATTACTAACGAGTTCTCAGAGATCCATTGGGTAAGATCAAGTTCAGATTTGGGTTTCTTACTTGCTCCTATCAAGTATCCATTTAGCCCACTCATGATCGGGATTAGGCCAAATAATTGCCCCCATCTAATTTTGCTAGACTAGCTGGAAAGAAAAGAAGAGTTGTATCTAAGAGTCCCTACATGACTCCCCCCCACCTATCTCAGTGTTGGTAGATTCTACAATGACTCTAGACATGTCTACTCAACAATAGAGAACTTTTCTAACACAAACGAACTACTCCCTCCGTTCCTAAATATCTGTCATTTTACCGTATTTTTTTTGTTCCACAATATCTGTCGTTTTATGAAACCAAAACATAATTAATATTTTTTCTTCCAAATTTACCCTTATCTTTGTTTTCTAATAAGTGCTTAATAGATTAAGTGTAGGCTAAATGTCTTTCATATTCTTTTTCTTCCCAATGCGTATTGGATAAGGGTATTTTAGTCTTGTGTAATTATTTTTTACTCATATTAGAGCTATTTAATAGCTTCCTTAATCCCTGTGCAAAAACCTTAAACGACAGATATTTAGGAACGGAGAGAGTACTAAATATCAAGTTCGAGATTAACCTAACAAAAAAAGGGACCAAACTAGCTGTTGTCAATACAAAAGGACCTTCACATAGACCACAACTCTCAAAAAACACAAAATCCAAACTTGTAGGGCACCAACAAGTCGCTGCCAAGAGAAAACACCACTACCTAATGCTTGCGAATCACTGTGGAGGCCAAAACATCACTGCCCAAAGCAAAACACCACTGCCAGAGGCTGGAGAATCACTGTAGAAGCCAAAACATCATTCCCCAGAGCAAAACACCACTGCTAGAGCAAGAAGACCCCATTGCCGAAGCAAAAAGGCTACTAACGAAGCTCTTAAATGCCCGTAAACACCACTGGCTGTGCACAGAACTCAATCAAAGCCCTAGAACCCTTTGTGGGTTTTTGTGTGTCCTGGATGTAGGTCTTAGTACCAAACCACATTAATTCCTTGGGCTTGATTGGATGAATTTTAAAGAGGGGTTTGTATTGGTTTCTCCAAACCCTTCCAAACTCAAACTTCT